TCACATTTTAAAGCTACATAGAAAAAAGAGGAAGAGTCCTAGAAGTGGACGAGCTTTTTTAAAATTTTATATTTTGTCTTTTCAAAATGAATCTTAAATATCATGTTATTTTTATTAAGAATAAACTTTATTCATTAGTTTCTTCCACTCAGCTCACACACTGAGGAATGACAGAGGTCTTACCATGAATAGTGACCCAAACTCTATGGAGATTAGTTAAGACAAAAGAAGTATAAAATCCATATGAATAAATACATGAGATGTTGCTAAGAACTTTATTGTTAATACCTCCTATGGCGTTCAGAGTTGTGACAATTGAGTGAAATTTGGTTCTGGTTTTAGTAATATCAGCATCTAAAGTTGTTCAAGAATGCTCTACATCCTTGTCATCATACATTTTTTACACTGTCTTATTTATTTTTTTTAATTTTTTTAATTTTTATGTATATGAGTGTTATGTCTGCATGTATGTAAATGCACCCATCTGGTCTTGTGCAGTGCCCATGCCTCCATGGGCACCCCTGGAGCTGGAGTTACGCATGGTTGTTAGCTGCCATATGGATGCTGGGATTCAAACCCGGGTCTTCCGCAAGAACATCCAGTGCTCTTAACCACTGAGCCATCTCTCCAGCCCCATATAAAGCTGGATGTTGTAGCATGTGCATCTGTAATCCCAGTGTACTCATGGCAAGGTGGAAGGTGGAGGTGGAAGACTCCCTGGAAGCTCGCAGGCCAGTGAGCCTGCATCATACAGAAGCAAGCAAGAGACCTTGTTTCAAACCAAATAGAAGGCAAAGACTGATAGCCAAGATTGTGCTCTGATCACACATATGCCGTGGCTTGCACACACCTGCACTCACATATACGAAAATGCACCCTGTGCACGCACACATGCAAAGATGAAAAATTAAAAATAAAGTTCCTATCTTTTATCTCTAAGATGTCTTGTGTCTTCTAGCCATGGTTACACACAGAGAGGAATGGAAGACTTCCATCAGTATTAATTTCTAGGAACAGAATATAATTCTTGAGATCTATTTTGCCCATCTTCCCAAATCATCCAAATTTACTTTGCAAGTTTTGCTGACATGATCGCATAGTTGCATTTAAGGATGTGGGTGATCCAGCAGGCTGTTTCTTGTTTACTTTCATTCTGTTACCCGACTTTCATCTCAGCCAGAGCCTGTTTGAACTGGAGCACTGTTTCTTTTTTCACTCCAAGAACTACATGATCAACAAACACATGAAGATGAATGCAGTGTTTTCTAGATCCAAAGAGAACTGAGCTTGAAAACTGGCTATTGGTGGGTAGGACATGCTGTAACCTCCCTTTGTGTTTCCTGGGCACTAGGACATGGCACTGAATACCAACTTCTGGTAGAACCATCACAGATAAACATGACCAAATGCAAAGAAAAAAAGATGCATCTACTACTTTTGTTTCTTAAAAAAATTAGAGCAGAGACCTTGAAAATATTCTATTGTTTTTAATATTATAAATACAGTAATTTTTAGTACCAGAAAGCACTTTGATATTAGAAAAAATTTCAAATTCTCCAAAGAGAATAACAGGTATTGAGTTAAATTATTTGACTATCTTATTAACTGGCACATTTACTTATAATGCAGTGGAAATTTCTGTTATGGTTTCCTTGCAAATTTTGAGATCCATTAATAATAATATAACCATTTATTAATGCTAGGTCATTAATTCCCTTGCAGCACGGTGCACTCTTGATCACTCCCTGTAGGATGGCACTGCATAGGAGTTCTGTTCAGCCTACCAGACTTTCTGAGTTTATATCTCTTGGGAATGTTGCTTTGGGTTTGAGCCATAGATGTGTAAGGAGTTGTGTAAAACATGCTACGTGTTACCATCAAAGCAATCACAGACAATCCTTAGCATAAAGCTGGATTATGGCAGGTACTTCTTCATTTTATGAAGAAACTGAGGTATTACAACTGCTTTCACAAAGACATGCAGAAAGAGGCTGGGGACCAGGAATAAAAATTTAATCTCAACATTCTTCCCAGGACTTCAATATCTTTGTTCCACTTTCTTCATTGTCCAACCTCTGTCTCCTGATATTTTGCCATATAACCCCAGATTCTTTACCCTCTAAGCTGTATGGATCCTGGAAAACACCAATCCTGAATTAATCCGAACACCTGCCCTTATTCCCCTAGGTTCACATAGCCTTGCTAGATACACTGAGCTGTTGTCTACACTCTCACCTTGGTCCTCTACTGGGCTAGTATACTCCCGTCATCCTCCTGAATGGACCAGCCTGCTGAGGTCCCTGACACCCTTCCCTTACTGCCCCTCCTTCCAAGGACCTCAAGGCCTTTAGAGACATCAAGAAATTTTGATATGTCAATTCTTTCTTTCTTTCTGTAAGGTCAATAATATTTAAAGCAACTGTGTTGCTCCAAACACACAACAAGCAACTCTGACAATGTATGCCAGTATGAACCATTCACCCTGGACTGGCTGTCCTGAAGGTCAATGACAGCTGTGTTTGTATTGACTCACCCGTATGTCTAATCTGTGAATCCTATCCCTGTATGCATACGTTTTAAAAGATGAAGTTATTCTAGTTTAATCTAAAGAGAAATCATTTAGAGTTTAAAACCTCTGGGCTTGGTAGTAAATGAGTTAATTTTGAAAGTGGAGTTTTATGAAGAAATTTTGGAGCATAGTAAATTAATCCTATGCTGCCTATGCAAACTCCTCTACCCAGAAGGATTTAGCACCACAGCATATGCTTAGTACAACCCGGTAAATCAGCAAGGGCCCTAGAAATATGGAGTTAGGGACCATTTTCAGTAAAATGTCTACTTTCATATATGACAATTTGTAAAATTTTCCTACTTGCGGTGAGGAAATTGAGCTCACTGAAAATCTCACTACTTAAAATGATCTAGAAAGCCAACGACCATTCTTTTTGTCTTGGAAATACTAGGAATGCCATGTAATTCAAAACTAAAATAATAAGCTATTAAGTCTACAAATCTGGATATTAATTTTATAAAGAAAACAGTGTGCGGAGAGTTAGAACAGAATGCTCTTACTACTCTTCAAAGCCTTAATTGCTCTTCTTTTAGAGACATCCATTTTAAATATGTCCACTACTTTGAACATGTTGATTTATTGTGTAATGCATTATTGTGTTTTTCATGATGTTATTCACGTTCGGAATTCTCCTTGTATATTGAATGGATGTTTAATCACCTCGGTGTGGTGTCTTGGGGTAAGGCTGATGTTAAAGGCATGCAAATTTAAATTTTACAATAAACAGAGTAGGCTCAGGCAAACATTATTTTAATTTTTGAAATAGTAAATAAATTATAAAAAACAAAGTTAAATTGGCAATCTGATTGCTTTGTTGAAAAGCCAAGCCATTTGGTATTGCCACTTTATGCCATGACATTTTGAAGTTTGTTTAGAGAGATGGTGGTTGAGAACTGAAAATTATTTCTTTTCTGAATATAAATTAGAATATAGATACAGAGATGTTTGGTGGAGTTTTTGTTGGTATTGTTTTGTACATCAAATTATGATTTAGATCTTTGAAATCAATTGTCCTGCTCTTAGCAATCTGGATTTTAGTAAATTTTAGTATTTAGCCTGGTAACTTTGATGCAACTTCTTGGTATAGAATCAAACAAATGACACCTATTACAGACCATAGGTCCAAACATCCAGGTGCTGTACTACCGGACATCCGTTGTCTGATCAGGAAGTATTAAAATAACCAAAGCCAATGTTAAGTCCTTCTGACTACTATTAGCTATTAGCTATTTTAAAGTCTTTAGATTCTTTTTTTTAATCTAAAATTACCTTAAAGTATCATTGAAATGTGAACTTCTTACTTTGAAGATACAACTTTATCCAATAAAATGGAAAAACAAGCAAGTAAATAAGTTGATAAATGTATATAATCAGGTTGTTTGGGAAAAAGAGCTGTCTGTTATTTACATGGGAATCTTGACCTTGTGGCTTCAGAATTGTTGGTGAACCACAAAATCTAAAGATATGTTTCTTATCTACATACAGATACTTCTCTCACTGATTACACAATACAAACTTTTTCAATACTCTGTTAAAGCAATATAATGCATTTGACTATGTCCTAAAACACAGAAGCCTTCTCAACTCCATTGTAACACATTAACATACAACTATTCAATTGATAAATATTCAATCTGTTTTTGTATGTTTTGAAAAGATTTCAATGAAACCCTCGGTCCCTTTACAAATCACATGCTTTCCACTCTTCAGACTTGCAATACTCTAGTTTCATAAGACACTGGCCAGAAACCATGTCACTGTGGACATTCTTGCTACTGCAACAGGTGTTTGTCAGTTTCTTAAGTTGCTTTCCTTTCCTCTGAGGTGGTGTTATTTCCGGTACATTCCAAAGGCTCTGAAAAAAAATGTTTGCAGTCTCTTGCCAAGTCAAATCATGACTCCAGTAACAAAGCTACCGGGAACCTCTTGTTTCCAGGTTTCATTTCTATAGGCACCTTTACGTGGACCTTTCTGCAAGTCTGACTTCTAGCCAATAAAACACTCATTAGGAGTTAGGTAAAAAGGAAAACTGAAAATAGAAATGACTTTGGTTCAGGAGCAGAACACACTAGCTATCTGGAAATGGAGCAGATTATACGTCTGGCGAACCCAGTATGGACCGTTTGCTCTCCTCATCCATTTAGACCACCCCAAAGTTTGACATACACAGAAACCAAGCAGCCTTTGATAGCTTGCAGTCTACCTGGTAGCACTTCCCTAGAAGGGAGGACTCTGTGAACATTGTGTGGCTAAACTTCCATCACAAAACTTAGGAGGGAAAGTCTAATTTACTTACGTAGTTTCCTCTTCCATACATTCCACCGCTATATGACCCAGACCCACGACATTATGAATCATTCACCATGAAGTTCACACACACTTCAGGACTGTGACAAGGCGACAAGGAGACAAGATTGCCCAGACTAACCTTTTGGAAGTTTCTCGGTCCCGCTGAAGGCAACCAGGGTGAGAATCTGTACCAGTGGAATGTTGACGAGCTCTCTCATGATTAATCCAGACTGCGCAGGAGAAAGCGACTTCTGGAGGATGCGAGGAAAAAGTCCCACGCTTTACATTTTAAAGCGCGGTTTGTTACAATAGGGTTGTGTGCTAATGACTGTTTGTGTCCGCAGCGCCACGGGCTCTAAGTACAAGCAGGAATTCTCAGACCTGGCCGAAATGATGGACATGGCCAGCTGGTGAGTATCTACTTAGACCAGTAATGCAAGTAGAGGGCTGGAGGAACAAGGGAAAGAAAATCCTCTCAGAATCCCTTTTAAGACAGTGGCAGAAGGACAATACCAGATGCCCTTCGCAGCCACCATGGAATTCCCTGAGGTACAAGCTTTCCTAAGCTGATTTTAGCCCACCACCTCTCCTGCACTCAAACGGGGAACCTAATTTTGATTCCTCCCCATCTCTCACCCCACAGTCAGGCTGTTCCAGTTGCTGCAGATTTTATCTACTGAATACTCTTTGATTTCTTCCCCTCCTTTGGTTCACATCAGTGTCATTAATCCTAACTTGTTTCTTAGGCATTCGTTTTCTCTGGAAGACAGCTGCAGAATCTTGTACCTTCTCCCTGTTAATGTGTTATAGCTAGCTAGCCCCTCCTGCCTGAAAGTCACATAAAAATGCATGCAAACCTTCCTGAGAAGGCATAGGACTCACTGGAATCTGTCTCTATAGCCTCATCTTTTACCATCCATGCTTTTTAATATTGTGACTTGCTGATATTGCCCCATTCCCAAGGAACCCTAATTGACTGGAAAGCAGTCACCTTCTCACAGCGAGGTAAACTGCTTCAAACCATACCAACCACCTGCTCCCAAGAGCATGAGAGCTAGATTCATCTTTTCTTCCAGGATGATACAATATTGAGGAGAGGGTGCTGACACAGTGTCCATGAGTGCATGCTGTGTTCGTGACTTTTCTCATTGCTGTGACCAAATACCTGACCAGAAGCAACTTAATGGAGAAAAAGGTTGTTTTGGCTCATAGTTTGAGGGTACAGTCCCCCATACTGGGGAAAGTTCAGTGGCAGGAGCTGGAGGCAGTTGGTCACACCAGCTACACTCAGGACAGGAGGCAGGGAGAGCTTAATGCTGGTGCTCAGTTTGATTTATTTTTTACCTCCTTTTTATTTAGTCCACGACCACAGCCCATGTGATAGTGTAACCCACATTAAAAGTGAATCTTCCTTTCTTAGTTAAACCTTTCTGGAAACACCTTCACAGACATGTCCAGAGATGTATCTCCTAGGTGACTCCATCAAGTTAACAATGAAAATCAACCATCAGGCACATAAACTACAGTGATGAGGTCAAAGCTACAGTCCTTCCACTCTCATTTTTAAAATAATCTAAAATGTAATTCATGCACATGATATGTAAAGAAAAACACAGTAAACAATATGGGTTGGTATACAGTGAAAAATTAGTCTCACACTTGCCCTAACCACTCAGTTCCCCTTCCCAATGGAAGCAGTTACCTGTCATAAGTGTTGGCAAGAACAGGGAGAAAAGAAAGCCCTTATATAGCATTGGCAAGAATATAAATTAGTGCCATGTTTGAAAAAAGTATGGAGATTTCCTAATAACCTAAAAGTAAATTACTCTATGATCAAGCAATCTCACTTCTCACATATAGCCAAATAAACTGAAATTGGCATGTCTAAGACCTATTTGCATGTCCATGTTCACTTCAGTAGCCAAAATAGGAAGTGACCTATGGAAGGTACAGTCTAAGAAGACTTAAAACTTTCACTGCAGAGGGTAAGGGTAAGACAGCATGCAGTTGAGGCCATTGGTTTTAAATTTCTATGGATTCACATATACTCTGGGCATGATTTTTTTCCACCAGCACTTCTCAGATTGCCAAATGACACATGTTGAATGGTTAGGTTTATTTGGGGACTAGAGGAAGGAAAAGTATCTTTTAGTGATATATTAGTCCAAGGAAGTGGTATTCCAGAAGAGACTGGTAAATGATACTAGGAAGCAAAGTGGATGCATTTAAAACCATCAGCAAGCAGGTGGGGACTCTGGTAGGAAATGGACATGATGGGAAGTGGTGCAGGAATTTGGGATCATTCTTTAATTACTTTAACATGCTAATAAACTGAAGAGTGAGATCAAGGACTTGAGACATGGATGGGCTTGAGCAGTTTACTAGGGGAACACATATTGGGCCTATATTCCAAATCCACCTTTAAACAGAGCTGCCCATTGGGGAGATCCCACTATCCCTATATATACTAATGATTACAACTAGATTCCAGGCCCATTTGACAGCTGAGGACCTCTGTTCCCTATAGAGGAAGGACAAAAACTTAAGTTCCCGTACATTGGGGCCATTTTGCTTAAATGGAGGTAAGCTCCTTTCTCAGAGTTGGGACTATCTCTGAAGCCATTGATACTGTGTCTGAGAAACCATGAGGTTGTAATAGTGTGGTTGGAAGGGTGGGAGAAACAGCTCAATGGTTAAGAGCACTGGCTATTCTTGCAGAGGATCTGGGTTCAATTCCCAGCACCTACATGGTAGCTAACAACTATCCGTAACTCCAGTTCCAGGGGATCTGGAGCATTGCACAGCATGGGTACACCTACCTACATGCAAGGAACGTACTCATATACATAAAATAAAATTCTAAAAAAATAGTGTGGTTGGAATGGATCTGAGACAAACGTGAACAGGAAAATCAAACAAATTTGGTTATAAAGTCAAGGTGAATTTCAGATTTTCAATTTAAAGGGAAATATGGAGTGTTTATGTCAATCAGAACTTCCAAAAGGGAAGTTGGCCCATGGAAATGGATTGATTTGTGTCCTGTATGTGGGAGCTGCTGTTAAGATCTCAGAAGGAAAGCAATGGCCCCTGAAACAGAACACAGGGCTGTATGCAAAAATGCAAGTAGTAAAGAAACCACAAAAATTAGTGAAGAACTAAGAGCTGCTCTAAGAGTTTCAGTTCACTTTCTCTGGCAAAAACAGATACTGCAGCCTACAGGCAGCGGTGGCTGTGTGGACAGTTTCCCAGTGATAGCTAAGACCTTTGGTTGAGGGATGCAGTCCCAGAGATGCTATTGATTTCTAGAAAATTCTTTCCATTCTTCCAGCAGGAAGTTAGGGGCCAAAATAACCCATCGGTAGAGTTCACAGAAGTCAGTTTTCCATTCACAAAGCAAATGAAGAGGGCTGAAGAACGGCTCTGGAGGACAGTGCAGAGCAAGTCAGCAAGACCATCTAAGGGGCGCCAGCCCTGCTTGGAATGTAGATGGCACGCTAAATTAGGGGCATGACAAGACCTTCATTTGTTGTCACCATTTTATTTTTATTTCTTCAGTCACTTCTTCAGTGGCCTCTATACTTGTTTCCAAAGACTGACTGTGTTGCTTCTCTGTCACACCACCCTGTGCCTCTTTAAAGTCTATTTTCAGTACACCAATGTGTTATAAGGGTTTTTTCACACTGTTCTCTAAGAACTGTTGGTCACATCCCCGAATACAGCACCTCTTCCTGGTTCAAAAGAGCATCTATATCTATATATCTGTAATATCTATATCTATAGTTGGGTTTTACTTATTTATTTGACACAAGGCCTCTATGTAGCCCTAGCTGACCTGCACCTCACTATATAGACCAGGCTATCCTTGAACTCACAGAAATCTGCCTGCCTCTACCTCCTGAGTGCTGGGGCTAAAGGCATGTGCCACCATGCCTGGCTATTTTTATTTATTTTTATTTATTTTTTAATTTTATGTGTATGAGTATATTGCCTTCATGTATGTAAGTACACCCGTATCATGCAATGCCCATGGAGATCAGAAGAGGGTGTTGGATCCCCTGGAACTGGAGTTATAGACAGTTGTTAGCCACCAAATGGGTGCTGGGAACTGAACCCAGGTCTTCTGCAAAAGCAGCAAGTGCTCTTAATGGCTGAGCATCTCTCCAGTTCCTAGTTGAGTATATTTTATAATGAAAACAAAATGGAAGCTAGGTGCAATGGTATATGCTTGAAATCCCAGCTCTCAGGAGGCTAAGGAAGGAGGATGGTGAGTTTGAGGCCAACCTGGGTTAGACAATGAGTTTGAGGTCAGCAGGGCCGCATAGACCGGAGAGGACGGAGAGAGGGGAGGAACTTTAAATTCATATTGCAAAGAAAGTTAGTCTGAAAATGGACTGATTCTGATTCTCACTATATGACTTTTGTAGCCAAGACTGGAGGCAGGAGGATCAGGAGTTCAAGTCCAGTACTGACTACATAGGAATGTACTCTCTCTCTCTCTCTCTCTCTCTCTCTCTCTCTCTCCATATATATATATCCTATAGAGTCTAATTTATGTATCCAAATGTCCTTCAGGGTGGGTCCATCCATTGGAACCTGGTTAAACTACCAAGAGTCTCATGCTTGAAAGAGACTGTCTCTGGCCCTCCTAGCAACCATCAGTTATCACAATTTCTTTATAAAAGGTTGGAGCATCTTACCCCCTTCCTCATGTCTGGTCTGAGCTTGCATGGGATTTGTGCATGCTGTCACTGGGGAAGGAGATACAGGAGGATGCCTGGGGTTCACTGGCCAACCAGTCTAGCCTTGGTGAGCCCCAGGCCAAAAAGAGACCTGTTTCAAAGGAGTATGGTAGTTTTGGGAATGAGGCCTGTTGTCCTCTGTCTCCCAAGCATACTTGGGCACATGTGCACATACACAAACACATACACATGAACACTCACAGATATACACATGCATAAAATATAAATAAATAAATGGAAACAAAGAACTTCCAAGTTGACATGGCTCTAAGATGAACTCTAAAACATGTTTTCTCAATATTAACGTGCTATTGGGAGAAGACAGTATTAGACAAATCCTGGGTAGTTTTCTCTATCTCCAAACAAGGTAGTATCTATTTTTGATTTCCTCTTCTGCCCTAATCCCTATATGAAAATAAGGAGTTATTGTGGAGAGTATGGGGAAACAATTTCTTGAGACCTGCACTCTGGAAGTCTAT